TCCGAAACTTGATTAGCAAGAAATTTCCTCTTCCTGCCTCCCAAGATGTCTCAGGTAGAAAAAAACCATCAAATAATAGATAAGGTTTAAAGGATTTTATTCTTATCTATCTTCACTATAGTAATATTAGTCTTAAACTTTGAGCACCTATGTACCTGTTCTTTAACCTTGATTTTAGAATGTTATAATCTCAAGTAAAGGTCAAACGACTCTAGACCATTCTTAGAAAAAAGGTGATTGTGATCTTAACCCCTTTCGTATGCTAATGCATCCCCCTGCCTGCTGGAAATGTATAAAATAAACCTCTGCTGAAGGCAGAGCAGGAAGATTTGCACCCAACTCTGACTCCCGTGTCTTCCTCACACCCACTCCTCTCCCCTTCTTGGAATCTCTGCACGCAGACGCCTTCCCATCTTAGGGTCCTGCCTGTGTTGCCTCCAGACACCTCAAAAGTTGGAGCTGGTCTCCGACAGGAGACACTTTCAAATGTGTGTTAAATCGCAGCACACAGAAGTTTGAATTGTATTTTAAAAGAAAAATTTTATTTCTTAAATGTCTAGAAAGTTACTGTAAGTAGTTGAAAGCCCATTTTTTCTGGCAGGTTCTGATATAAGAAAGTGCTGAAAAGAAACTTGGTTGGATAGCAGTGAAGAATCAGGAGTGAACCAAGATCCCATGAGGTCAGCTCTAACATTACTAAGTAATATCTGGATTTTCATGAAAGTTACAAAATTTACTTTCATCCTGAGTTTCTGTAAATATTTTTCTAAAATTTTCAAAGAAAATTTGAATTTGGTTTGATATTTCATATATTTGGTATCTACCCAAAGATAAATTATTTTTGGAAATAATAGCAAATTTGTTCTCCCACTCTCAAATTAGTCAAACCAAAATAAAGATTTTCTGTCTTAAAAAACAAGTGTTTTAAATGTCAGGCACAACAACTTTGGGAGAACAGACCAATCGTGTGGGAGGACATGCTGGATGTTAAGCTTAAATTTCATGGGGTCTGAGGGTCTCTAATGACCTTTTTCACCACAATTTGAAATGCTTGTTATAATTAGATTCTACTGTGGAACATAGTGCTCTTAAAAAAGACACACTGATAACACCGATAAATGGAAAAGATGGAATATTTCCAATGGCTCACAAGACCCTTAAATTTCTCCCTAGAGAAAAAAATTCTAGAAAAAGTACAGAAACCAAAAATAATTTGATACACTAAAATAACTTGTCTGACTTCTTAGGTCTGTTCATTGGAAGGGAAGTTGTCAGTGGCATCTCGCTGGATATGCATGTCAATAAGAGAAACAGCTGCAAGGCATTACCCAAGGCCAGAGTTTGCAACATGCACAATCCCAACAGAGGGAAGTTTATGAGAATTTTAGAAAGGTCTATCTTGAATCAATTCAGTCTAAAATTTGATTAAGAGGACAAGTTAAAATCAGCATCAATAGGGCCCTCCCTGGTGGTGCAGCGGGTTAAAGCACAGCACTAAGAATCTAAAGCCACTTCAGCATGAATTTGATCCCTGTCCCGGAG